TGAGTTAATGCGCAAGTTTATATGAAGTGGGCTATGGCTGCGTCCAATTAGGCATCTACGTATATAATGTCTATGGGATTGAACTAGTTCTGTAAGTTCTAGATTCGACAGGTCTGGCAGAAATCAAGACAATTACTAAAGAACACCTAACTTTCAACTTCATGTGACTTAAACAAAAATCTCTGTGTTATATGTGAAAAGATATTAGTTTAGTCATTGTAGTAACACTTACATGATATCACCTCCTACCTTAGCAATGCGGTCATGCATTCGGGCCTTGCGGTCGTCCCCACTGGCTTTGGCCTGATTTGATGCCTCCACATATTTAACTCGTCTCTGCTCTAGAGCCTCCAAAACATCTTTAGGTGCTGAAGGGGAAGCAGGGCCTGAGACAGCAGAAGAAAAGGGCTTTAAAGTCAGGCTACATGTAGCTCCTCAAATACTACCTCATGAAAGAGAGATTAAACACTATTACTGGTATCAGCCTATAAAATACTGTGTATTTTCTAAGCTAAACACACATTTACACCCTAATATCAACAGTTTTTTTTTTAGATAATTCTTAAAGACTAATACAAAACTTAGCTGTAGATAAAAATCAAACGTCCCTGATTCGACTATGGATGGATGGTGACACAAGTAGACAGATTAACACATACGGATGGATTATACTCAGATAAATGGATCCAACTAACAATGAATGGATGGTTTAAGTAGGGCTAAAATCAAAGTAATTGTCAGTTAATGTAGTAATAATTTTTTTTTTAAATCACTGACTCCTAAAGAGGCCATTTACTGAAAGAACCTCGAACTCTGAGCAAAATTAAGCAAAAACTGTACAGGTATTAATTACGTATTTCAGATGAAAAACATTTCTGAGTTTCTTTTTCACATTGTTGTCATTTACAATGTTTTTAAAATTATTAATGTTTTTTTTTTTTTATTCGAACACACTTTTATTGAGGTATGTTCATTTTCTAAGACTACCTAATTTTAATCAGGGGAAAAAATAACCACTAGGTTATTCACTTACTAAAATAATGAATAGTTGCAGTCCTAGTTACTCAACTGTAGAAATATAAATATTCTTCTAAACAAACTACTTATAACAAATTCCACTGTTTTCTGAACAGTTTAGGAAACGCAACACCATATTGCCATAAATATTGGGTCCCACCTTTAAATCATTGAATGCAGGTGATGCCATCACCTAGATCAGCAGTCCCCAACCACCGGTCCGCAGACCGGTACCGGGCCACGGGTCATTTGGTACCGGGCCGCACAGAAAAAAGTATATATATATAATTTAACGATGATCAGAGTCTGAGTGATGTTTTATTTTGAAAAATATAAAAAATTGCGGCATTCTCTCCCAATAACATCAGTCGGTACATCTGTGCCTCTTGACACAGGTTAGGACTCATCCTATCTATAACATCCTATCTTTGTGAAGCGTGATTTTCTGCGGTTACAGCGACCAAAACAAAGCTACGGAGCAGACTGGACATCAGGAGCACACTTCGTCTGTCATTTTCTCCGATTACGCCTAGATGGGGCCGGCTTGTTGTTTTATTTTTATGCTGTTTGTATTTGATTTTATGCCAGTTGTATCATTTTACTTGAACTTATACCCCCCCCGGTCCGTGAAAATATTGTCTGACATATAGAGGTCCGTGGTGCAAAAAAGGTTGGGGACCGCTGACCTAGATGGCCATAGCTGACATCAACCAGTAAAGCATTCAGACTGCACCTCCAAATATTGGGGATGTTATGACAACATGGGAAGAAAGGGATAATAGAGCATTCAGCCATGAAGTGATTGATCTCAAACAATCATCTAACAGTGGATGCTGGCACATTGTTCACAGAGGATGCCAACTTTCTGAAGTCCAGATTGGAAGAGTTTAATGAAGTGGGTTACCATGGCTGACGAGCTGCGTCCAAACCTCATATCACCACATGAGGGTGCTACCACTGGAAAATCGAGCAGCAGTAACCTGTTCTGTCTACAGTAGGTTTGCCATTTCCCAGGAGAACAGTTTATGTCTGACTGCAACATGTCGAGTATGAACTGCAATGCAGAGGAAATTATGATGATGAGCAGCTTTAAACCCTGTTCTGATTAAACATGAATGTTCACAGATGGAGTAAAAAGGTAAATCAAAAGCTACATTAAGCATTAATAAACTTTTAAAACAGTTTTAGAGTGATCCTTCAGATTTGCTGAAGCCCAGTTCGGTTATTTGTTTATCATTTAAATCAGTTTTAAACCTTGAGAGAAAAATAAAATGAATAAAACGCTTTATCAAAGAGAAGTTAACCTGATAGAAAAGTGTAGTAAAATGACAAAAAAAGCAGATCATTGAATGTTAAGTTGTGATGGTAAAAGCCCTCTACACTACATTCACACACACATTTAGACACTGATGGTGGTGAGCTACATTGTAGCTACAGCTGCCCTGGGGCTCACTGACAGAAGCAAGGCTGCTGTACATCAGCACCACCGGGCCTTCTGACCACCATCAATAGGCAATGCAGGGGGAGTGTCTGGCTCAACGACACAACAACACTGGAAGTTTGAGCTTCAACCCTTCAATTGCATGGTAAAATCCTGCATCTGATGCCACTGTTAATATCTACCAGGGGTTGCTGTAACTGGCAGGGAGGCGTCCATGTTCTGCTCAGAGGAAGGTTTGTTCAATACAGCAGAGCTCCTTTCTGCACCTAAAACATGAGAGGGGAATATTAAATCCAAGGTGCAACAGCAGAGACTAGACATTTTTGATTATGCAATTTGTGATTTCCAAGACTAAAATATTCCATTTTAGATTTGCTTTTGCTTTAAACATGTACTTTCAGTGTATTTACAGAGGATCAATCAATAGAAAATATTATTGTTAGACAAACCGCTCTTATCTACATCATATTGAGTTACCTGTAATCCATCTCAATTTAATCCAGTAAAAGAGTGAGAATCAAATTTGAAGGCAGATTCCAGTTAAAGCCTTTTTCAACAACTAGATGAAGTATTTCTTTCATAGGAGATTGGGCTGATTGTACTTTGAACCTCAAACAACTTCAGAGCACATGATCAGTTTACTTTGGGAGTAACACAAACTTTCTTAACTCCTCTAGAAAGTAAAGACAAGAAAAACCTCTTATTTTTCAGTATAGAGTGCTGAGGATCGAATTAGAGGAAAAACAACTCAAACAATTAATGTAACTTTAATTCTTTTGCCAATTCATTTTCTGTATTAATCTGGAGAAACATCTCTCAGGAGAGACATGTCTAAAAAGACTATTTCTTGTTGATCCCCACAGCCTCTGGATTCGTGAGCAAAACCCTTAACCCCTGATTGGTCCCTGGGTGCCACACAACGGCAGCCCACTGCTCCCCAATGGGTTTGGTCAAAATGCAGAGAACGAATTTCCCCATTGTGGCACCATAAAGGGATTAACATAACTTTTTTTTTTTTTTCACAAACAATATTTTTCTTTCTTCAAACTATATAAACATAAATTTTAATAATAAAACAACATTAAGTAATTTTGAAGTGGTGCTCTCCCTACATGCAGGCTCAGAATGGTAATCTGTGATACCGGGCATTTGCCCGATGGGCCGGTCCTAATTTCCTCTTTACATCATACCGGCCCCAACACTTACTCTCCGGCCAAAGCACCTATATGTGACAGTAAATAACTCAAGGAGCTCAAGAAGTAATACAATGTTAACTACCTAAACGATGCATGCCATATATATAGCCAGTATCATGCACATCCTTGTGACGGTTGGCATATGGTGTCATTTTCTATTTCTTCAAACTGTAAAATCCTTGCAACAAACTTAATTATAACACAACTAAAATGCTTTTTTTTAAACCAAACTATGATGTTCCTCTTGTATTTGGCGAAATTAGGTTAGAATATTTTGTAAAAATATGTTGCGGTGAATGATGGGGTTTTGCATCTAAAGGTTAATAATCAAAGCCAGTAAAACCGCATTATAGAAGTCTTGGTGATAGTTGTCGTGTGATGCTTGAAGATAGATTGGTTAAATTTACAGTGTGTGTTCTTGTTGTGTTTCACATTTGGGACGGATGCGTTTGACTGTGCTTCTATCTTCTTTTTCAGGGAGTGGGGCCATAAGTGGGCCGGTGTAGATGGAAACCTGCCAGGGCCGAAAATCGTTCCCAGTCCGAGCCTGCCTACAGGACTGTAGCACTGAAAATAACAAACTGCCCTTCAGCTGGAGGACGCATATCAATATCCGAACGTCTGAAGATAATACACTGCATTATCTAATTTAACTAGCTGCCTTTTCATCGCACATTATTACTTCTATACAAGTCAGTTAAAATATCTTCTGGAATAAAATCCTTTTAATTTCCTCTCATTAGGGGATTCAGCCATTGTGGCACGCTAAGAATCGATGGCTCCAAGGTCACAATAGTAGGTCTAACAAAGGTTAGCATAAAGTATATGGTAATTATAAGTCCAATAACAACATCGCTACATGTCCATCAATTTTGCATCCTTGTTCGGTTTTACGCCCAAATTAACTCTCTCCTATTTCAATTTGCTTCACTTTCCCTCTCCCATGAATCTCTAAATTAATAAAACTGATCTATAATTACTCGTGGGTAGCGTAGCATTAGATGTGTGGCTAATGAAGCCAATGGCTTTACATTGTGCTGCTGTAAAGCTGTACACCTTAACATGAAACGAGAACAAATCGACAAATCTGCAAGAGGGAGATAAAAGCCCTCTTACTCATCTGATAAACAGGAAGATTATCATCTTAGGGACTTAGAAGAAGAAATATAAAATTAAATATGTAACTTAGTGAAGGTTCAGGCAACAAGTGGTGACGAAAAAGCCTGGCTGAAGCAACCCGACTGGCTTCATTCTTCTGATATTTACCATTTCTATTAGTTGTAACATTATTTTGATCTGTGCTTTTTTTAAACAGAGTGTACATCTTTTAATTGTTAGGGTTTTTCCCCATCAATAGTTGTCATTTGCTTAAGATTCTGTTCTTTAACCCTAACCAAATCACAATTTCTTTTTTCCAGTATTTCTGACCTTTTTCAGGAGAGGATGGAAGGCCACTGAGGTCGACTGCTTGTCCTTTCTCCAACGCCTCAATCACTGCATCAAACCTCTGCACAAAATCACAAAGAGATAATCATGGTCTTTGTCAGTAGTGGCATTGTTGGCATATTTTACTTCTCATACTGATGGCAAGATTCTCCTCAGCGGAATGTGAAGTAAAATATGCCAACAATGCCACTACTGAGCAACATGCTCAGACAAAAAACACCAGAGATTTTAGCTGTGGACATCTGATTACCAGAGTGACTTAGGAATTGGGGATGCCCCCTATCGGTATCGGCCTGTATCGGCCTTAAAACTGAATACCGGACATTGGCCACCCCACCGATATTTAACCCGATATTTGATCAGCTTCTGAGTTTCTAAAATCGAAAAAAAAAAAATACTAATACTTTTTCCTCAAAAACTTCTTTTTTACAGACAGTCGAGGGAAAAAATATTGATACATTAAAATATCACAATATCTTCATATGCTGATATATTGCCATTTAAAAACACCATATCAATCTCTTTTACTAATGAAATATTGCTATATGTCATCGTTATGCTACGAAATCCCCCGAAAATCCACAAAATGTTGCCATATTTTTATATGTTGATATATTGACGCGGTATCGATCTATTTTACTAACAAAATCTCACAAGAATTTGCAAAATATCACGAGAGTTTGTAACAGAATGATGAAATTTCACGAGATTTTGAAAGTAAAATAGATCGATACCACGTTCTTATAAATCTATTTGATATCAGCATATAAAAATATATTCGAGTATATTATTTTTCAAAGTGTCACAAATGGATAACAAAACTGCTATTTTCAAAGACTACTTATTTTTCTCCAGCTTTAATATCGGTATCGATATCGGTTATCGGCTACATGAGTTTTAAAATATCGGCATATCGGACATCGGCCAAAATCCCAATATCGTGCATCCCTATCAGGAATGATGTAAAAACCTCATTAATAGGGTTTTTTCTAGCTCTATACCAGAAGGACACCCATTGGACATCCACATGAAGGTCATCTTAACTTTATCTATATTTCCAAATCACTACAGAAGTTAGAGGGGTTACCGTTTCTACAAAACAGATCTACAGTCTGTCTTCCAGTTTAACTAACTTAAAAAATTCTGATTTTTTACTATATCACTTTTTTTTTTTACATTTTATACCATCATTTTTGGGACAGCACTGATTAGAAAAGAAATTTGCAATACAAACCACTCAATGCAAAGTTTATTTTGCTGTTTAAATTTGCTTTCCCCTCATAATAACTCACCACAGCACTTAATGTCTAAACTGCTGCTAACAAAAGAGTAGTAAAAATGTCTTGGTTATAACTAACCTTGCTGGTCTTGAAGTAGAGCTTAGCCTGCTCCATATCCCCTTCCTTCTTTGCCCTCAGAGCTGCCAGCTTGTATTCTTTCTGCCTCTCCAAAAGCATGAGCTTGGTCGCCTCGTTGCTGGCTGTATTGTGGAAGAAAAACAATCACTGGAGAGAAAGGCCTGATTCACTGCTTCCTGACTTGTAATAAGGCACTTGTTTCACTGAGACAAATGACAGTCATATGCCTCCAATACAAAATTAACGGAAGCATATTAAACTCAGCTGAATGTTGGACCAATAAATCTATCATTTATAGACAGTAAGGTGAATACAGAATTACTAAGTTGATAACTTCACATAAAAAATATATTGTAAACATATACCTAAATGTGGCGAGTGAACTGAGAAGAATTTATGTATCCACTACATTTCAAGATAAAAGTTAATCCTGATACATTACCAAAGATAATATGATTTTAATTTTTATAATAATATTTCTCTGGCAAATCTCACAAAATCTTGCTGCTGTGTAGTGGCTGAATAATAGAATCTTGGATGGTGTGCTGCAAACTAGTTGACAAGGTTTAAAAATATATTAAAGTATATATCTTTAATATAATCAAAGCTAATATCGCCTAATTAATCGTCACAATAATTGACAGAATGGATTTATTCTTATACCCCTAACCTAAATAAAGATGTTTCAACATTTACAAGGAGTTCAAATCATATAAATTTGGTTATTTGACATTGCAAATGTGTATCTCTGGCTGTTGTCCTGCTAGAAGATAAACCTCTGTCTCAATCTTAGGGTGTTTTTTTTTAAAGACTTTGATAGTTTAATTTTAAGGACTCTTCTTGCTTTAGCTTCATTCTATTCTAACAAAATATAATTTTATTTAGAACTAGGTGGTTCTATTGATATATAAAAAAACAAACAAATTCTCAGGTCTTTATTTTTTTTGTTAGGCCAAAGTCATGTAAAGCCACTGCTGCAGCTCCCTGATTTAGTACATAAATTCCCAATAAAATACTTCAAAGCTTTAAGTTTTATTGTGTAAAAAAAAAGCTAAAGGGGCTTAATGCTTTTGCAGGCAATTTTAGCTAATTGAAAAAAATACGGGCATGATGAACAATCCAGTTTGACTTTAGGTTCCTTTGTACCAACAGGAAAATAAAATGAGCCACTCTGGGATTGGCCAAATCATAAAAAAAATATATATAGAAACATAATTTTTTTTATGTTAAAAGCATCATTGCTGTTTTATGTGACTAACTTAAATTGTAATACTTACAATCAGTCAGATTGGCCTTTGCGGGGTCAGGTAACTCCTCAGGAGATGGAAGATTGCTCGCAGTCAGTATGGAAGTTGAAGACCCCCCTTCTTCACTGCTGGGTGTGACGATATCAGGCACAGCTGACGGTAGTGTTGTGGTCTCTATCTCCTCCTGCTGAGCTGGATCAGGAGGCGAAGGAACAGGGGGGGCGGGTCTTACAGGAGCAGCAGGCCGAGACACAGTGCTTGGGGCTCCGGTAGCAACAGGTGGCGGGATCTCTGATTCATTGACAGGCTTTCCCTTTTTTAAAGCAGCTAACATCGATTCCAGTGTCTGTGAAGAACAACAACAATAACTCTTAACAGAAGTATGCCCCTTGTGGGGCCCAATGGGGTTGGTATACTGTTTTGCCATCAGGCAAATAATTGTTTCTATGAAAGTGATTTTTAGCTGCTCGTCACTTTGTTTTTTACTAACTGTCCGGTTCCTCATTCAACTGAAGTCAAAAAGTGGTTTGCGTGTAATTTAGTGAAAAAATGATCAGATATCCATCAAAAAATGACAGAGCTCATTAGAAAATTAGTTCTACTGGTCAGAAGAGCAGTATAATTGGTCTTTAACATTTCTCAGACCAATTCTAAACCCTTTATCCTGACAAAAAATCTCTAAATATTTAGGTTTCTGGTTTTGTTTAATTGCACCTGAAGGCTTCAGCTGTATAATGTCTCTAGGATTGAGGTTTTAACCAAGCCAATCTGTTATCTCTAATATTCTCCTTCCGTGGCCAATCCTTTATTGCAATGGCAATGTACCTTGGGCTACTATCATAAGATGTTTTCAAGGCACATCATGCAGCAGGGGGCTGTATTTTCAAATTGCTAAAGAAAATCGGATGGTAGAAGCTGATTTAAATATCAAAAGCAGAAATACTTAATCTACGTCGCTAAGTTCCAGCTAAGTTGGATAGAAGGCAGCATGGATGTGGAGTAGGCGCAATGAGAAGAGAGAGAGCGAGGAAACAAGAGTCATCTCTTTCATCAACCAGCATTGGGCAATGAGAGATCTTTAGCAAAAAATTAACTACGAGCTCTTCAAAGATTTAGACAGAATATTAGGAATACAGTACTATGTGCATCACTTCAAAAAAGGTATCAGCATCATATCCCAAACTCCAGCGTTTCTCTGCCAGGCTTTCTGACCATATCAGCTGACAGAGATAAAAAAAAAAAAAGCAGACAAAGAAAGGAGGTGGGTTAACAGCACTTTTAAAAAAAACATTATTGATAACAAAGACCTTCCTCTTCATCAGACTGTTGTACAATAACAGAATGTCTTCAGTCAAAGGTATTCAGTGCAAGACATGCAATATAGGAGATAACTCATGCCTACAACCATTAATATCAACTAAATCTTCTTGAAGTAACTCCTAAAAGCGTTGCAATAACATTTAGTTTCCCTTTGGTATTGATAAGTGACCTTTTTTTTTTTTATTTAATTGGATGCCAATGACATCCTTTTAAGCTCTTGGGTTTCTTTGTGGTGTAGAGATTTAGAAAATATGAAGAGATTGACTCTTTGGTAGGTGCGCTTCATATTAAACAGAAGAAAAGTAAGGCCAGGGCTATTTGTAAATGATTGACCTATTTGTAGACAACATTCAAACATAACCAACTTGTGAGACAGAATATTCTGATTGCGTTGGGCGAAAAAGCTCCTTTTAACCAAAAAATTGTTCATAAAAATTAGTCCCCCTACATGAAAATAATATTACAGTTTTTAAGTGGGCTAAGTTATGTACCCTCCAAGAAAACAAATAATTCTCGTCCTCACTTTAAAACATATATTTTATACCCAAAAGACTAATTTACAGTTTAAACAGAAAAACAAACGTCAGTCTCAAAAGGACGGCCAGTAAAAAAAGTATTTTCACAGAATAAATAATTCATATCATGATATTGATGCGCAGCAAAAATAACTTAACACTATACCTGCCCTCCTTTTAATGTGCATTATGTTAAATACTATCAGCTTTTTGTAAAGTTATCAAAAAGCTTTATTTATACACATAAGGTTTTATCAAAATTTCTTTAAATAAGTTTTTATTTGTACCTTTGAGGAACAATAACAAATAAAGACCTCGGACTCTGAAAATATTTTCATTTAAAATCTCACTTTCTTCTCTTGCAAAATATCATAGAAATATCTTTGGGATATTTGGTATTGAAATATCAGCTTTGGGATGTAGTTCCATCTTCATTATATGATATATTTTTACCAACCTTTAGACCTCGATCATATCTTCTGGCCTTGGATGTCTCTCCTGCTGCCTTTGCATTCTTTATTGCCGTCTTATACATGTCTGCTCGCTCCTCCAGAGTGTTCTGCAGGCTACCAGGAGGTGCTTTGGAGATCTTTACTTCCTAGTTCGGTTTCAGCGGGGGAAAAAAACACAAGGACTGTAAACACTGTCAGGGTTGATTTTAAATAAGATACTAAGCATGCAAATTATGAGCTGCACATTTCCACTACCTGCATAGGAGAAACAATCTAAGCTAATGAATAGTAACATAAGTTCTTGTATTATTTTTTTTCTGGTCATGATTCAGTTGCTTTAAATTCAAAAGAAATGTATAAATAAAAAGAAATGTGTAAATATGAAATGCGGGAGAAAGAGTGGAGAGTGTTTACCTAGACTGGACACAGTCCAGCAATAAACCTGCCAAGTAATGTAAGTGTTTATGTTGTTACTAAAATAGGCAGTTAAACCTTCAAATGAAAGATAATGTGAGACAGAAATTCCCCCAATTTTAGTTGCAAGTCATTGAAAAGAAAAGGTAAATCTATTTGACATCCGTGTCAGAGGAGTTTGTTTTTAAAGATGAGAGAGAGTTGCTCGTGTTGTACCTGCACAGCTGAGGGCTCGACTGTTTCAACTAGAGAAGATTCAGCAGAGGCGGAGGATGTAGAGGAAGCAGTTACTGTGTCCCCAGCTTCCTCTTCACCCACCACTTCCTGGAGCTCCGCCTGATGGAGAAAGAGTACATCAATACAAAACTATCAGGCATGTCTGCTGAGATACAATGACTCAGTGTAGTAGATGAAGGGCGGCATTTCTTAAGATCATTGAGAACTGTAAAGCTAACTCCTAATTTGATTAGTCTTTCTAAAGTTCTGCTCTAGAATAATAAACTGTGTATCGAGTCACATTTTTACAGCAGAAAATTACATTTTTTGCTTCAAACCACCATAAGAATAATGTAAAAAGCGTATATTTCAAGGAGAATATTTGCTTTGAGAGGTGGCCTGTCAATAATGTCTTCATTTTTCTACAGATTAAATTTAATGTATTCCTTAAATACAAAGTCTTTGCAGCATGTGTTAAATTAAACACTTTTCAATCAGTTGCAACTTGTTTTCTCTG